AAAAAAAAAAAAAAAAAACCACCCCCCAAAACAGGTCCTTGTGCTTGCCAGGCAGGTATTTAGACCACCAAGCTATCTCCCCAACCCCAGGGAGACTTACTTAATTTGGCTTTTCATGTCTTCAATAATGGAGACAAAAAATTAACTATACAAAGGTGCCAGCATTTGGCTGTGACATTCTGGACTCCCATCAAAGAAGCAAGGTAAGGCTGAGCCTAAACAATGCTGCCACCCAATTCCCTTCTGGACCATGTTTCAAGTCTGGCCTACCCCAGCGTGCAGCCACCACTGGTACCTGGTTTCATCTGCAAGCTCGTGGGTCACTGGAAATGCCACTGCCCTGTCTGCCGGAGAGTGGATAAGTCATCCAATTCTCTACCCTCACAGGAAAACTCACTGCAGCCAGATCCATCACTGCTTGACCTGCTTGGTCTTGCCATTGAAGAGCTACGAGAGGTGTGGGGTCCATGGCCCCCACTGAGGTATCTCTGTCAGAGCCCTGAGTCTTTGCTGGACATCTCAGGACACTCTTTTGTTGCTGACAGGGAGACCATGTAAAGTGTTCTGAGTTTTCTGGTCACTGAGATTTACAGTCTCTCTATAGCAGGTGTTGATGGCCAACCTACAGGACCCCATTCACACAGGCTTATTTCTTGCTGATTCCAGATACTGTTCTTCACTCCTAATTTCCTTGTGATCCCAACCTGCCCCACACCTCTCATGGGGAGAGATCTCCTCCAAAAATTACACTTCTCTTTCACCTCTCTCCTCACAGTGCTCATCCTACAAACTCAACCTCATTCAATGCATAGCCAACTCCTCCAACCCTCCTCCCTTGCTGACCACATACTCAGGAACACTTCCAGTCCTTACTCTGTACAATACTCCTATTCTTCCTGTACTTAAACCCAATGGCTCCTATAGGTTAGTTCACATTCCCAGGGTTATCAATAATGTGGTTACACCTATTCTGGCACACGGCTTTACAAAAAGACACTCAAAAAAGGGCAAAATATGCCATAGTCAGTAGATACAGAGTAAAAGAGACAATTGGGCTTTTATTTATTTAATTTAATTTTTTTTTTTTTTTTTTGGTGGAGCCAGGGATTGAACTCAGACCCTTGTGCTTTCCAGGGAAGCGCTTAGTCCACTGAGTCATCTCCCCGGCCCCTGGGCTTTTAAAATCCCACCTTCCCAAACTTATCCTGGAACTGCACCTGCCTCAGCCTTAACTCCTTCTCTTGACTCTAACTAGACTCAGGACACTTCCTAGGGCACCCACATTCCTAAGCCCCTAGAAAAAAAAGACATCAGGAACTAAAAAACTGATATTTTTCCCCCTTATCATGGTCATGGTGAATGACACATTCGGATCATAGACTTGTAAGTGATAGTATCTAGCATAATATCTTGTTGACTATAAAAGTAGGAGAGACTCAGGCAGAATTCAACTTAGTTTGACCCCTGCCTGAAGTGTTCAGAACAAAGACACCTAGGCTGGGCCACTTTCCCTTTTAGCCTTACCTAAATTGCCCCATCCCTCACGCCTTTCCATGCTCTGTCAAAACATCATAAACATGTAGGGGATAAGGAGGATGCAGGACCAATTAAAGGAAATAAGACCCAAACCATATGCCCATGCATAGGCATAAATCCCCCTGCCCGAGCTGTGAACTCACCATATAGGATACAGGGGCACCACATTCCCCTATATTCCTGCATATATAAGAGATAGAGGGGCATCACATTCCTGCCCTATTGCCATAGCAACAAAGAACCTATATAAGCTGGTAGGGAACAAAAATGACCTGTGTGTACCTCCAATCTTGGGGATGCACATAGAATGCCCACTCAATAATAAAGGCCCTGTTATTCCTGTATTTGGTCTTCCATGGACAGTAACTCCAACCATGGCTGTTAGAGACTCACTTCTTCCCCTCCTGGGTCCTTTAATCATGATGATGACAGGTCTACTCATAGCACCCTGACTTTTTAAACTTTTTTCAAGGTTTCTTCAGTCTCGGATGGGAGCTTTCACTAATAATGAACTTCTCATCCTGACTGAGACACCTGGCACTAACTTCTACATGGGCGCGGGCTGTCATCCTGTCAACCCTAACTCCTTCACAACAATGCCACTTCATCAGGAAGCAGTCTAAGATACACATCACCCCTTCATGACAACTAGAAGACAGGAATGATAGGTTCTGGCCCTAGTATGAATTGCTGAATTATTACAGTGGTCACCCAACATGGCCAAAACCCTTAAAACAACAGCTTATCTAGATACAACTTCCTCTCACTTTTACTTTGCCACAAGGGAGACCCCAGTCAGTTCCTTAGGTGTCACACTAAACTTGCCCCTCAAACTCTACCCCTGGCAGAAGTCCATAAGAGTATATCAGCTTTCTTTGTCTCAGGGCAGAGGATCTTCCCCATCTTCCCTGGGACTCTCTGCATGTCTTTAGAGTTAATAAAGGCTTCTTTTATCTTTTCTGTCTCTTTACTGAGACACAAAAAACCCTAATATCCTACACATTCACTTTGAATAGAAATCCTGAGGAAATAGAAATGTGGGGACATAAAGCCACCACCTGAGCCTTTCAGTGCTGGATGTCACAGTTGATAAGGGTGACAGGGAAGGAAGGAGGGGCCAGGGACTTTCTTAGCTATGAGGTGGGGCTTTCACTGGTTGTCTGTGCCAGCTGGGCCAAAGACCACTGAGGATGGCACCTCTTAGTGTATGTTCT